TTAACTTCCCCCTGTAGTGCGTTGTTCAAAAGGTACCAAAACAAACATTTATTTTACTATAATATTGTATTAATCCCTGCATTACCAGCTCTACAAATTGTCTCGACTAACTAGTGTTTTTCCAACATTATTGATGAACAAACCTTATTGAAAGTGAACTGTGCCTTTGTGCCACGGCCCATTTACTGCAACAGCCGGCTTGTTTCAATAGCTCTGGGCCAGCAATGCTTCACGAGGTGACAGGTGAATAGTAGTGGAGCGGTTAGTAGTGGAATTTATTCCATTCCTTTTCTTCTATTGCCTTAACGCTCTCTCCATCTCTAGACGAAGGTTTAATGGGCACTAATGGTCGGGCTGCGTAATTAGCAGAAAAGCCAAATGGCACAAAGTGGTGAGCTGATGGAAGTTGTGGGGGTCATTTCTATTTCTGGAGGAACAAAAGGGCTCGAGAGTGGCTCGACTGGTCCACAGAGCAGCTAACGTATTCTGCTGATCCGACTGATTTTCTTGATTTCCCTCCGGAGTTAACCGGCAACCAGCAACGGTCACTTCATCTGCAGAAGCCAGCTCGATGAAGACTACAAAGAGTCCGATATAGAGACGCAAGGGTGTCGTGAAATAATGTTATTGAGACCGATGACTGCCGTCACTGATCACCATCACCAGATAAAGGATCGTTGCAGTCGTCATTGTTTGGGATGCAGTGGTTTGCTAATGCAAAGCGAGTAGCCGGGTTCAATTTCTTAGAATCAGCTCCAACACATCAGTTTCTGAGAATCAAACAGTGGGAAATTAGACAATTATGTCTGTTTCACTTTGTGGCTACATCCACCCAAGGTTCATATATTTAGGACCATACGGGGATGTAACGAGAGGTTGGGCCAGTTAATGGTCATCGATGGAACATTTGACATTCTATCGTTTTTGGCAGAGCTGGGCTCTGTTAGTGTATTTTAATGAAAGTTCACTTTATATAAGACAGCTTTATTCATGAAGTATGAGTATGATAAGGTTGATGGGTCATTAATGTATTAGACTGCTGCTCTGCTGAAATCATGCAGTCTGTTTAGCAAACATTGGTCGTTATGATTTGTACCTGCAACCCATCGATGGCTCATATCTGATCATTCAAGAGCTTAAAACATCCGTGTGCATGTTAACTCCTGATATCGACCGATTCATCGGTTATCAGCTTTTTCCTGCTCCAAACCATCGTTCATTTATCGCCCTTTAAAAATCCACTATCGCTCGACCTGCAGTTCAAACAGAATGAATAAACATGCTGCGTAGCATCCAAATATGTCCATTTAGAAAGTAAATATCAACGCTATGAATGAAGCTTTGAAGTTTGGTACAATACCAGCAGAGAGCTAAACACAATGCAACAACTGTAGGCCCAATAAGAAGAACTTGACACCAATGTGGTAACAGTTCAAAACCACCCCATATATTCAGAGGAGAAGAGTTGATGGCCTGTGTGAAAGGCTTCTTTTGTTTGTTAAAAGGCGTTACTGCTGCTGCTGTTGCTGTTATTTAACGGCCCTCGCATCTAGAAGTATTGAAAAAATAATCAAAGTTGGTCATTTAACCCGACTCCAATCATTAGACGCGGAAGCAAAGATTGCGATCATTGATCCTTCACAGTGATGAACTGTGTGCACTTTGTGCCAGAAATAAAATAACCCGGAAAAAAGGGAAATGCAGGAAATCGGTGTCAGCCAGATGGCCTAATCCCACGGAAAGTAATGTGGCTCAACTACTACATCTTACCGTCTACATGAAACATAAATGATGACAAGGAGATGGATGCCGATACTCCTCTCTGGACTTTACAGCATCCAAACGCAGGCCAAACGTCTGCCTGTGTAGCCAGGGTTTGAAAGTAAAGAAAAAGCAAAGCACCCCGTCTGTGCTCTCGATTGTTTGCTCCGGTGCGATTGTGATTTCTCCTTGGAACCACGAGGCAATCAGGGAAAGAGGAGCGCGCTACGCTGTGCTGCAGACATTTACAGCTGCTCTTTTCTTGCTCGTTTGGGAGTGTATGGCTTTCTCTCTCTGAATGGTAATTATGACTAGAAACAAAAGGGGCATTTAGAGACAAAAAAAGGGCTGGTTTGGAGCAAATGGGCCGGCGAGTGTTCTGACTCCAAGTGCTGTTTCAAGAGAGACGATATGAGGTAATTATGTAGAGGGGGGGGGGGGGGGGGGCGGGGGGGATAGGCCGAGGTTGGCTGGGTGTCTATAGAGAGCGAGACCAGATAGCACCATCTGCATTCTGCACAGGCTCCATCCGTCTGGCTCGCTGTTGGCTTCAATAAGAGCCGGCAGAAATGTATTCAAACGTAGAGTCACACACACACACACACACACACACACACACACACACACACACACACACACACACACACACACACAGATTAAATATCACCAAACACAAACCGCAGGGCTACAGGTTTTCACCCCAGTCTGTTGTAAGGTGCCATCATTGAATTACATGTGAATGGAGGAGCTGATAGCACTGATTTTAGACTGCTGGCCAAACTATCACACTGGACTAAATCCCCAAATCCTCCGTGTGTGTGTGTGTGTGTCCCACATGGACTGAATGTACAAAATATCAGTGGAGCTTGCGGTTTCTCATTAAATCCATAAAACATTCGTGTCACTTTCTATTAAAAGGAATACTTCAATCCAAAAAAATGATTTGTATGAATGTCTTACCTTGAATTCTTTAACAAACAAACATCATAAAATGTAGAAAAGACTTAAATTTGGTGTTTAACAGCAAAACTATATCAAAACATTGTTTACTCACACAGCTCGTGCAGAATGATCTCATTCATCCAGTCGAATGGGCATTACTTCCCAAACACATGCATAGCCACTATAACCCGACTATTAAAAACACTTAAAACAGTTTCACAGCTGCACAGACGCGCTACTTGTCCGTGCGAGTCTGATATATTTGAAATAGTACAGTTGCTGTTTTGATATAGTTTTGCTATTATTGTTGTTAAACGTGGCCCCCCCATTTACTTCAATTCATCGAGACCTTTCCTTAGTTCTGTATTCTTTGGTTCGCCCCAGAGACACGAGAGAATTCAGAGGAACATGGGGGGTAACTGATGGACAGATGGTCCTTTTGTGGCTGAAGCATTCCTTAATTAAAAGCCATTAACTCTCATCAGTAGGGACGTAAAGAAATGAGTTTAGAGCAGGAGTTCAAAGATTTAAAGGGTCTAAAGCTCAGAGGAGTAGAACACCAAAGGAGGAGGTCCTTATTACCGTGTAAAGTCAGATACTAATAGCTTCATTAACAATAATAAAATGTGTTCATGTTAAAAACTAGCTACAGCTTTTGTATGATTTCTACAAGTGCAGTTTTATCACAGCTACAGTGAAATAACCCGCACCAATGCATGATGGGTACATGATCCAGAATGACACCAAAGAGGTAAAGACCAGCATTAGATCAAACTATTTTAAATGGCGGGGCTTACCTCTCTGATCTTGTCCCGTCTCTCCTTGGCGTCGGGCTCCGGCGGCTCTCCGTCACTGACGCCCACCACTTTGGGCATGGGGACGGGCGGCAGCGGTTTGGGCCCCGCCTCCTTCTTCTTCAAGTCCTCCATCACTTTGTTCTTCTCCGTCTGGATCTCAGCCTGCAGCTCCTCGCGGGACTTTCTCAGCTTCTCCTTGGCCTCCTGCAGCGCTCGCTCGTGGTCCGCTCGGATCTTGTCCCGCAGGCTCTCCTCCTCCTCCCTGTAGGACGAGGGTAAAAGGTACGGTTTAATGTTTTCATTATTATTTTCACAGTCTTTGTTTACGTCCCTCAATAGCTGCCACAGAGGGGTTACGTGTCTTCACCGGGTTGAACATCAAAGTGTTATTTTAACCAAGTCTGACACACAAACAACAAACATTGGTTTCTTTTGTCAAATATATTAAAAATTAACTCCGACAACAAACATTGAACCTCTGGGAAATACATGATAGACTGTTGGAGACGAAAACAAGGTTACAAGTGTTTGCCGTTTGCCTCTGAAGGTCTAAAGAAAATCAAACTGTTACGATGTGAGTAGACGGGGTCACGGGTTCATAATTCTCCCCAAAAAGCAGGAAAAGTAAAACTCACCAGCCTCGAATTCTAGATCACGTTGGAAACAATAAAACCATCTGTTTTGGGAAATCTATGGATTTCCACCAGTAAAAGAAATGATAAGATCTAAACCCAGCCTTGATAATAAAACATATCCCCATAATAAGTCTTAGTTATGAGACACACACACACACACTTTAAAACATCTGCTCCAGGAAACAGGACCGGTGTGGAGGAACACAATGAGAAGAAGAAGTGCCAGAGTGAGAATCATCATCTGTGGCTGCACATGGAGGTAACGAGCCTCAGGGTGCCGACACGACTCTCATGAGGACGAGGATGTGGGTCAGTCATGAAAAACAAACACAGCGGGATGCTGACGCAAAGGTGACAGCAGGACGGAGACACTCTGCTGTTCTTCTCTTCTAGAGTTTACTAATAATACAAAACGTCAGCTGGGCTCCGGGTTGATGGGCTTCATGTAGGCAGCCCATGTCTCCAACATGAAGACTAAATAGTATATGATAAATCTATGTGTGGGTGATCCTATACCTTTAACTAATCACCATGCATGTATAGGTCATACTCTGTAGAACACATTCAGGAGATCGGTGCAGCGTGGGAGACGGACATGAATATAAACATGACTTGTATGTCAGAGAAGCTGATTTACATTTGAGATTATGCTTTTTCAGGCTTTAAACACATTTTAAAACAACGTGATGTTTTAGCCTCTAAGTTGTAAACTGTGTTTGGCGTCTCGCACGAGACAACGTCCTAAATTACTAAAACATCGTCATGAGATGAGGACTGGGAGAGAATGAAAGCGAGGACACAAACAAAGATTAATTTCCCTCGACACTGAAGTCAGTCCCTTAAGTTCTCATCAGCCCCGTTGTATCGCCGGTTCCAAAACTACCTCGACATAAAAGCACTAAAATGTGAGTTGCAGAGGACGATAAACAGGAGAAATCTTGAGAAGGACTGCGTGTCGTCCGAGTGCAAACATGTGAGCTTGTTTATTAATGACCTTCTGTGTGATAAACTGAAGAGAATGTGGGCGGAACTGCCGACCCGCTGAGATCCGTGTGGACTCAGCTGCAAGCCTCCGCAGAGCTGCACAGCTCAACGTCTCTGAGAAAACAACACGGAGTGTGTGTGTGTGTGTGTGTGTGTGTGTGTGTGTATGTTAACTCACACACAGCCCAGTAATGTGAATCTTTGTCCTCTTCCAAGAGGAAAGTAGTGCAGGTTATGAGGAGTAAGAGGGCAATATAATCTTGTTAAAAAACAGATGGCTTTGTGGGTACTTATTTTATTTATTCAACATATGTTAATGTGTTCTGAACTAGACACATAGTGACTCATCATGACGGTTTTGGCTTTGGCCGTCGCCATCTTGACTTTTTGCAACCAGTGAACAGGAAGTGACCATATCCGGACTGAGGAGGAGTGACGTAGAGAGTATTTAGTGTATGAGTGACGTACGAGTGTATTTAGCAGCTCCAAGGACATACCTTTTTATTTTTAAACATGCATCGATTAGAAATATCGGACTAATGGCGGCCCTATTTCCTCTTCTAAGTAGAAAAGCATCCCGACTACAATACAACCTACTGAGAGAGATTATTTAAGCCTGCAGAGTGAACCTCAGGGCTTCAGAGTGCGTCCATACGTCTGTGTGACAACATGTAAATGCAGCTGTGTTGAGTGCATGTATGGCTGCTGTAACAGTGACTGTAGGTCTTTGCAGGAATGACAATATAATAGAGTAAGAAGAAGGAAAAGAGATGAGAACAGAGATACATATGAGAGGAGGACAGCTGATTACGAAGGACGAAGATCGGGCTGCAAAGGAAGAGAGAGGCGGAAAAAAAGAGCATCAACCATCCATTTGCTCTGACAGCTTATCCTGTTCAGGTTCAATTGGGGCTGCAGCCCTTTCCCAGCATGCACTGGGTGAGAGACAGGGTAAACCCAGGTCCGTTTCACCTTTCTATCACAGCGTGTGAGCAAGAGTGAAAGACATCTAGAGAAGCGAGGAAATACGATGTGAAAGGAAGTGACGAGAGGAACCGAGACGCAGGAACGAATGTGCGAGACAAACAGGAAGGAGATGGACAGTTTATACTAATTATCCTTCACATGTGCATCCATTTTATAATTCTATCATGATGCGGGGCCAACAGAGACCAAAATAAACAGCTTCTGAGTTACACAACATCGCCCTGGAAACAACTCATAAATATTCAAATCACGACCCCGGCTGTGTCTGACTTTAATTGATAGAAAACATATTTTGCAACACCAAGACGGCAATTACTGCAGATCCGGTGGGTGCACGTATTTGTAAGAATGTCTTTTTAAAATGTGCTGTATATTCTTCGTGGGGATTTCATGTTCATTGTGTCGTACGTGTGTGTGTGTGTGAGATATATTATTGTACTTCCCAGCTTTCGTGTGAATGTGCGAATACGTCTTGTGCGCTCGCACATCTGCGTCTTCTACTTCGAGGACTGTGGGGAGATTTCTGTGTGCAAGTAACTGCAATCTTTCAATTTGTGTATGCACGTGCGTGTACATGTGTGTGTGTGTGTCTAGACCCAGTGGGAGTCACGCCTCCTCTGTATGCCATCCTCTGCGCCTCCTTCAGCGAGTGTGCCCGAAGCAACATGCATTTAAATGTGATATTTAGATGGCGCCGATGTAAGGCGACTCTCTAATGTGTGTGTGTGTGTGTGTGTGTGTGTGTGTGATGTGAGGGAGCGTGACAAAAGGAAATGAGGCTAAGGAGACACCTTCATCCCTAATGGGTGCTGACTGTGCACCACGTATGTAATATACATAAACACCGTCACACATGATAATTACGCCAAAATATGCAGGTTTCAAAACTGTGCACGCATCCTCATCATCCTCTAGTCTCACCTCCTCTCTTCTCTCCTCGGAGCCATTATGGTACTCACTCTAGCATCGCCGAGGATTCCCTTCGAGTCTCATATAATGTCAAACACGCAATTAAGTGCGCATCAACAGCCTCCATTACCTCCACAGAGACGAGCGCCCAGGTGACCACGCCTACACACCTCCAGCTCACTCGCATCCTCAAGTCCTCACAAACCCCCCAAAAAACCTTTGACAGAAGCAAGGAGAGGTCCCTAGTTAGTTGTTTCAGCCGTGTCAGGCCTCCAGCAGTCACTCCCTTATTCTTTTATGTATGTGTTATTAAATCAGCTTCACTGCAATGTATTCTTCTTCTTCTTCTTCTTCTTCTTCTTCGGTGGTGTCATGAAATCTGCTGCTCAGCATAAGGCCGGCCCTTTCCATGGCAACTGGAGAGAAGCAGCAGTCTGTCTGTCGAGGCGTCTAAAGAGACGGAATTTATTTATTGAAGCCGTGGAAACAAGACGCAAGGGCTGGATGCCATGTAGCCATGGCAACACACACACACACACACACACACACAGTGAGAGAGAGAGAGAGCGAGAGACAGAGAGAGAGAAAGAGAGAGCAAGAGAGACAGAGACAGACAGAGACAGACAGAGGGAGAGGGAGAGACGGAGAGAGACAAACAGACACACACACACGCTGAGTTATTAGTAGGCCTGTGCCGAATGTCATTCTTTATATAATCAAAGCGAGGTTTTTTTGAGTGGAGATTCAAATCATATTTCATGACGTCATCAAACCTACGAATAAAATGAAAAACCTTTGATCAAAATCCTTAATTTAAATAAAGTGATTCATCGGATTAAAAGAGAGACCCTGAGTTAGAGTCTATTTATTAAATCTACCTCCTTTAATGAACTCGTCAGTGTTTCTGAAAGGCACAATGAAACAAAATAAGCTGTGCAGCATTCTAATTTCTATTTTGAATTTAAATGTCAACATTATGAATGAACCTACGCTTCCAACTCTTCGGTACGGCCTAATGAATGTATACCTTAGCGTCAGACAGGTCATGCATAGAAAAGGTATTTATTATTCAACAACATGTGTAGGGCCCTATGACTTTCCATTTGCCGACAGTCAGAGCGTGGTAACAGACAATCGGAGCGCAGTAACAGACAATCGGAGCGCGGTAACAGACGGTCGGAGCGCGGTAACAGACGGTCGGAGCGTGGTCACAGACAATCGGAGCGCAGTCACTAGGGTTGGGTACCGAAACCGTTCTTAAAATGCAAAACCAAGTTTGTGAGGGACATTGGTCACACAACCTCGTGCATGTAGATGATGCCTGGACTACAGTCGACTATGTCGTTTCAATCATATCACAAAGGGTCATTGTCGCTCTTCAGCAGCAGCTCATGTCCTTGTTACGCGAGATATACGAGAGTCACCGTCTTATTTAAGGAGACAAAAGCCTCTGTACACCATGGATTTTGCTGACTGACAATATATTTTGCATGATTTCCTCTTTATTCAGAATGCATCAAAGATAATTGCAATATGTCACACAGAGTTTGGTTACACCGTCGTTACTGTCAAAACAGTTTGTATTCTGTTAAATAGCTGATGAAGTCAATAATTAGATGTCCTTTAATAGCCTTTTGTGTAAGAATAAAAAGAGCTTCTCACATATATTTCCCACATTAAACTCCACATTGTCCTGTTTAAACGTGAGCAGCAGTGAAGCACATGGAACAATATGTTCCTGGAGGAT